CACCCTTCAAACTTGGGCGCCACCAGTTGATCACTCAGTGATGAAGGCTATGTATTGCAAAGGTTCAATTTCTTCAGTAAGGAGAGCTTCAAATCCCAACCTAACACCCCATTTTGGACCAAAAACTATTTTGACCAAAATGATTTTTAGACCTTAAAACCCTCTCTTTCAAAATATTTTTGAAATAAAGTTTCTACGATGTTCCGAGGCTCGCATTTTGTCAAATGATGCGCTTTTTGGTAAACCGAGCAAGGACAAAGTGGAAATGAATGAAAAAAAGGTGAAATCTTGGAAAAATCTTTCAAAACACCTTATTTAGAGGTTTGGAGTTGAAGAAAATAGGAGGAGATGAAAGAAAACTAGTTGAGAAGAAGATAGGCATCAATCAGTTAGGACCGAAACTAAGTAGTCTTCACTAAAATAAGCATATCTTTTTTCCCACTTGGAATTTTGATGTGAGGCTGTGACCATTGGAAAGAGACTTCCGGGGCTTCAATTTAGACACAAGAATGACCTGTAAAGGAGTCCAGATGAAGGAGATATGACCATTTGAAGTTGGACCTGGAAAATAGATTTTTGTGATCGACCACAGATGTGGCTTGTCGGCCACCAGTGGTGGCTTGCCGGCCGCTTTAGTGGCCTTCTAGCCAGGAGTGAGGTTTTTCATCCATCAATGGTGGTCGTCGGCCACCAGTGATGGCTGGTCGGCTACTGCTGAAAAAAGTCAGTTTTTGTGCAGATATTTTCCTCCAGCTGTTTCACACTGCTCCAACTGTCTCTAATTTAGATATTTTCGACCTGAGCTCTCATTTTTCTATATATAGAGGACCTTCTCTATTTTTTTCAAGGTTGGAAAAATTTTGGGGGCCTCTCTCGCTACAAACCTCTCTCTCTACAATTCTCTCTCTCTTGAATTTTTTTGCATACAAGTAGAGATATACTTCTAGTTTGCCTATCAACCCTTAACCAAAGTTGCTTATCTTTGGGTTGAGGTTACTTGGGACACTCTTTGAGCTCTAGGAGGTGGTCTTGGCTTGATTTAGTGCCTCATTTGTGCCTAGAATGGTCCTTTGCTTCAAGAGGTATAACACTTGTCCTTTAAGCTTGTTTTGTACACTTGTTTTGCCATCTTTTCAAACTGTTTTTAGGCTGATTTTGAACTGTAAAAAAATCTATTTTTGTTGTCTAAAAGTGTTGGTTTGAGGCCATTTTCAATTAAGGGGTGGTTCACCCTTCTTGCTTCTTAGCTTGTAAAGCTTTTGTACCTTTGTTCACCACTTTCAAACCAACTTTTTTGGACCTTTCAACACATCATCATTCTCATTCGCATTTGCACTAGTGCTCGGGTTGTTTGATCTATTATCAATGTTCACGTCACCAAAAGATCCCAAGTCGATATCATCTCCAAGAAGTTCTACCTCCATATCATCCTCAACATCATCTACAATAGTTAAAATAAAATCATTAAGCTATCATTTTGATAATGATAGATAATTAAAAAAAAATGTTGCTTAATGATGAAACATTATTTTCTAACCATCTCGTAGACCATGACATTGCTTCTTATATCGTGGAGGCTCATCTTCTTCATAAAGCATTTTTTCAAGCTCATCATAATGAAGCAATAGAGGCTCCTCTTGTTCTAGTCTTTCTTCTTCAATAATCTACAACTCGGTTTTGTCAATGCCTCTTTACCCAATAAACCCGACCCGTCCGCTTTTATTCTTTTTTTATTTTATTTTTTATTTTCCCCCCATTTTTTCCTAATCTCATCTTACCACACTAACCTAACCTATTTCATTCAGCTTCTTCGATACTCTCTTTCTCTCTCTCTCTCCCCAGAACCCTACCCATACCGACGGCGACGACGATTAAGCGACGATCTACACTGAAAAAGCCATCGCCGATCGACGATCTGTGTTTTTTTTGGGATTTGTGCGCCCTCAGCCAGCCCTTTTTTTAGAATCTCATATTAAAACCCTAACCCATTGGCACTCTTCGACCTTAAAGAGGATCGACGATCGTGGTATGGTAGTGAGATATTGTCTTCTCTTCTTCTCTTATTCTCCTCATTCTCTATCTCTAATCTGTTCGTTCTGTATTTTTTCTTTCCGGACTTCGACAACCTCTAAAGTTCTTATTTTCTGCAATCTGTTTGTAATGTATTCTATAATTTTTATTTTTATTTTTGGTTCTGTAATCTGTTTGTTCTTATTTTCCTTTTTTTTCTTTTTTTGGTTCCAATTTGTTGTAAGAGAAACCAATGGAAGAGAAGAGAGGTTCTATAGTGTGAAGAAGCTTACACACAGGAAAAATAAGTGTAAGCTTCCTATTTTCTTTCCCTCTCCATACACCAATTTTTTGTATTATGCAACCTTGGCTTGAATCTGTTTACAATGTGAAAAAGCTCACAAAGAGGGGAAAATGATGTAACTGAATCTGTTTTTTGATTTTTTTTTTTTTTAACAATGTCAAGTGGATAAACTGGAAAAAAATGGTGTAACTTTCCATTGTGGACAAGTGGCAAATTTGTAGGCAAAGTGGTGTAACAATGTCAAGTGGATAAATTGGATAAACTGAATCTGTTTTTGGATATTGAATTTGTAGGCAAATTTGTGAATGAAAAATGGAAAAACTGAATGAACTTATACAATTTTTAGGCAAATAAGTCTTATAGTAATTTATTTTTCTAAAATCCCCTGTTTGGTTTTAGTTTTAGTTTTATTTTTTTTTTTTTGGTTGGAGGATGTATGTCTTTATTTATTTACAAATTCTTCACAGAAACATTTGAAGCATTAGAAACATTTGAAGCATTAGTTCTTTAGAACATTAGAAACATTAAAAACATTTGAAGCATTAGTTCTTTTTTAACAACTTAAATTCTTTAGAGAATTGGTAATTAAACATGGTCTCATGGCCCTAGTTCAAGGGGTCTTGGGTTTAATTTATGTCATTTAGTGCCCAAGATATGTTTAGGACTAAGGTTTAGCATGAAAATCAAGGTTTTAAAAATCGGACCGGTGAGCGAGCCGGAAAAATGATCGGGTGGACGGGTCACCGGTTCAACCGGTGGGTTGAACCGGATCGAACTGTGACATCATAATTATGTCATAAATAATTGTAAAAAAAATATAAATTAATAATTTAAATATTAAATTTTCAATTTTTTTCAAAAAAATTCTTAAATATTTTTAGTGATGTTTTTCTATACTTAAAAAAAAAAAAAAATCCTGAATATAAGCCATAACACTTCACATACTAACAACAAATAAAATTAAAGATGAAAATTTAGCCATTAAAAACAACAATCATAGCAATAAAAATTATGAAAGCATCCAACTAAAGCAATCCATAAAACATAAGTTACAAAAAAGACAAAACTAAGTCCAAAGTTTACAGACAACACAACATAACATCACAAACAATCTTTGATTTTTGCCTAAATCTCCTAGGGACGATAATTTAGCCAATTATCATCATCATTCTCATTCGCATTTGCACTAGAGCTCTGATTGTTTGATCTATTATCAATGTTCACGTCACCAAAAGATCCCAAGTCGATATCATCTCCAAGAAGTTCTACCTCCATATCATCCTCAACATCATCTACAATAGTTAAAATAAAATCATTAAGCTATCATTTTGATAATGATAGATAATTAAAAAAAAATGTTGCTTAATGATGAAACATTATTTTCTAACCATCTCGTAGACCATGACATTGCTTCTTATATCGTGGAGGCTCATCTTCTTCATAAAGCATTTTTTCAAGCTCATCATAATGAAGCAATAGAGGCTCCTCTTGTTCTAGTCTTTCTTCTTCAATAATCTACAACTCGGTTTTGTCAATGCTTTCAATGTCAATGGGATCATAATTCCTTGTTTTATAATACTTCCTATATTAATTCAATTGTAAGACTAAATAAACGAATAAAATAAAGAATCCATTAGTTACTATATGAGAAAGATTAATTTACCTATTCTTCAATCGCAAGTTGTAATGAACATACACGAGATCATTAAGCCTATGATGTTCTAGTCTATTCCTCTTCTTTGTATGTATGCGTTCAAAGACGCTCCAATTCCTTTCACACCCAGAAGAGCTGCTAGTTTGACTAAGAATTCGAATGGCTAACTTTTGCAAATTTGGAGCACTATGTCCAAACATCTTCCACCATTCATCTTATTATCAAGAAAGAAAGAAAGATATTATAAAAAATAAAAAAGAAACAAGAAACAAGAAATAGATAAATGAGATAAAATATTCTAATCAAAAGCATATAATAATGATAATTACTATTAAAAAAAAGAGAGAGATTACCAGGTTGTGTTTTCTTTGATGTAATAATGGCTAGCTCTCTTCCAAAACTGTCTTGTCGATCTCGAAACAATCTAAATTCATTCATGAGCTTTGTTTTACTTGATGTGGCTTTAGTTTCAATCACATCAAGTACACTATTCATAACCTCTAGCTTTTTGCAAAATGAAGCTTGATCATATTGAAAAGTTGGGTTCAACCAATAAGCAGCTGCATGTATATTCTTTCGCAATTGATTATCCCAACGAGTTTTAATGATTGTTGTGTAAGGCCTATACAACCTCTTATTTCTCTTGAAAATATATTTAATACCTTTGATTGCCCTATACATGCCTTCATAAACATATCCCATGGATGGTTTCTCATCTCCATCAACAATACGCAAGAGACGCATAAGTGGCTCAACAATCTTAACAATGATGAAGCAATCCTTCCAAAATTGTTTATCTAAAATGATATCAATGGCATCCTTTCCTTTCTTCTCTTTGGCAAACCTTGAACTTGCAAACTCCTTACTTGTCACCAAAGCTTGCAAATCATGCATATGCTCATAAATACTATGCAATGCAAGGAAAGTAGTGGCAAAGCACGTTGCTCCTGGGCGCACAATTTCAGTCCAACTCTTCTTCTTTCTCAACCGAGCTAACAACCATGAACGGTTGTATATGTACCATGTCACCTTTTATGCCTTAATAGCAAGCTCATGCACATGATTCATCTTGGAAATTTCACTTAAGATTAAGTTCAAGCAATGAGCTGCACATGGAGACCAATTTATAAATTTGTAAGTAGCATTTACAAGTCCTCCAGCAACTTTATAATTTGCTCCATTATCTGTCACCATATGAACAACATTCGACACTCCTACCCACTCAATAACCTCTAAAAACAATTTAGAAAGAAGAGTAGCATCTTTGACAGCATTAGAGGCATCAATTGATTTCACAAAAGCAATTCCCATAGGGCTATAGACAAGAAAATTTATTAGATTTCTTTGTCTACCATCAGTCCAACCATCACCCATAATAGTACATCCACAAGCAGCCCACGAACTCTTCAAAGTGTCAATATACAATTGAAGCTCTTTTTTTGAGTCTCTTAATAAAGGAACTCGAAGTTGATGGTACGTAGGGACCTTATATCCTGGACCAATGGCAATTGCGGCATCAAACATGGGCTGAAAATAAATGGAGTTCACAGCATTGATTGGAATACAAGTATCATAAAAGAATTTTCCAACAATCATATGTGCTCTATGTATGGCTTCTTTAGTTTGGAGAGCACTTTTGATAGTTGGTTGAGAACCCGGAGTGGTCCTTGGTGCAAAATAATCACCGATTTTTGTTGGTTCATGTCTCTTCCCCTTCCATTTCTGTGTCATTGGTGCTCTACTCTTATTCCCACTTCCAGCTCCTTCATTGATTAAAATGCCCTTATTGTTCTGAGGAATTGTTCTCATAACCTCATCATCCTCATCATCAACATTAACATAAACATCATCACCCTCAAATTGAAAGCCACCTGGACCATAAGGATTTAATTAATCATAATTTTCTTCACTTTGCTTCTTCTTTTCATCAAATGCTTTCAAAGACTCATGCATTTGATATTGAATATCTGGGGGAACTTTTTTGCATGGCCCAACCTCACCTGACTTCTTTGCAAGATGTTGCTTCATTCTATTAATCCCTCCACCTTTAATAGTTTTCCCACAATACATACATGAGTAAGTCTTCTTCCCATTGGCATCTCATCCCTCAATAACATGTGCCCATGCAATATCAGATTTTCCCCTTGTGGCTTGGGTGGAATTAGCTGTTGAATTCTGGCCAGATGACATCTCTCACAACTACAAGGTAGAATAAGAACAAATGAAAAAAAGAAAAAAGAAAAAAAGTAAAAAAAATGTAGAATAAGAGCAGCAACAGTGACAAAATTTAGTATATCATGTGACAAAATTTTTCATTCTATTCTATCTATAGCAACAACAGCAGTAGCAGGACAAATAATTTTGCATTCTATCTACAGCAACAATTAATTTAGTATATCAAGAAGGAGATCAAATAGACCCAAATTATTAGAGGAATTTTTTTTTTCTTCGTAATTTTCTGTGAGCATCCAATGATGATTGTCCAGCCTCTACTTCATATTGGGATCTAGGTAAAATTTTCCTCCTCCACTAATTTTGGACAAGCCAAATACAGTATACATTTTATTTTATTTCTTTTTGACATTCAAATCGAAAGGTGAACAATAGGTATTGTCATAAACAAAACTAGTATTGAAGAAGTAGTCGTTTGACATTGGGAAATTAGTGCACAATTTCAATTTAAAATATGTTTTCCATATATCATTGACAGGTTAAGTTTTTTATTTTTGAAAGAGCACATGCTAATAAAACAAAACAAACATGCTCATTGGGGTTAACCCCTATTGTCAGGCCAATTTGTATGAACTGATAAAATTGCTCTGTATGTAATATGATTTTACATACGTATATATATATAATTCAAGTATAAAATCAATTCATGGAAGCATCTCAATATATTCAATAAATTTCCCTTTACATATTTCAATCATATATCTTCCTATCTAATATTATTAATTATGACTATAATTTTTAACTATCACTTATTTTCATAGTCTGTAAAAATCATACTTTGGATCTATCTATAAAGGGGAAAAAAAATTCTGAAGAAAAAAATAGAAAATAGAAGAATAAAAAATCTGTATATATTTTTCAAAAATTGATCTAAAGATTCATCATTCTGATGCTCTAACAGAACCGTTGATAATCAATAAAAATAAATCTGTATATATATTTATGAAGAATATATAAGTAGACCCAATAAAAAACAAATATTTTTCATTGAGGAAAAGGAAAATCAGTGTGTAAGTAGACCCAATTTCTTTGAAAAACAAAGAAGGAGATTCAAAGATTCATCAAAATAATACCTAGAGGATGCTGGTGGCTGAGATTCTTGGCAGCAGTGGTGGTGAATCAGTGTGTAAAGTTGACAAGTTGATTCGTTAATGGCGAAAAAAAAACAGAGAGATAGATCGCATGCTCTAACAGAGGGAAGGGAAGAGACCTGTGTGTGTGAAGAAGCCCTAGATGGCTGAGAAGATAAGCAACGAAAAACAAAAGCAGATCTAAATTTTTTTTTTAATATATATATAATCAAACCGCCCTGGTTCAATTAACCCGGAACCGGTTCGAACGGTTCACTGGTTGAACCACCGGTTTCACTGGTTCTATGGAAATACACCGGTTTTTATATGTGACCGGTTTTTTAGGGCCAACCGGACCATAACCTCACCCGGTCACCGGTTCAACCGGTTGAACCGGCCGGTCCGGTCCGGGTTTCAAAACCTTGATGAAAATGAGGTTTTATTGTACTAGTATTTGAAAAAATAAAGCCTTTGGAGATATTCTTAGTGACTAAAAGAAAATCTAAAGTCTGAATGAATCCGAAGCCTTTGGAGATATTCATATGTGTAAGATAGTCTTAAGTAACTAATTAAGTGACCAGTAATTTATTCATATTTAACCTATGATCAATTTGTAAATAACCTAGTAACAGATGACCTATTCATATTTAAGTGACCAGTAACTAATCTATTTACTAATCTATTATTTAGAATATGATCAATGTAACAGATTAGTGAATTTATTCAATTGTAAATAATTTATGAATAGTTTAGAATATGATCAATCTATTTACTATTCATAAACAATTAAGTGACCACTAACTAATCTATTCATAAACAATTTAGAATATGATCAATATACAATTGAATAATTTATTCACAGATTAGCTACTTCAATCTATTATTTAGAATATGATCATATGAAAGAGAAGTTTGACAAGTATTAGGGAAATGGGGATAAATTCAATCTCCTTTTGTATGTTGTGGTTGTGCTTGATCCTAGAAGGAAAATGACATACTTGCAATTTTGTTTTTCAACAATTTTTGGTGGGGATGTGGTGAAAGTGAAAGAAATGTTAGACAAGGTGAAACATTGTTTGACTCAATTGTATGATCATTATGCCACACTTGATTCAACAAATGTGCATGTCTCCAATGTAAATGAAATAATAGATATGGTGATAGATGAAAATAATCCACATTCTATTGTGAACTCTCAATTTAACTCATTCTTAGAGGGGCAATTTTGTAGTAGTGGGAGTATATCGGAATTAGACAAGTATTTGGGTGATATTGAGAAAGGTGGGAAAAATGCTGAATTTGATATCTTGGAGTGGTGGAAGGTTAATGCAACAAAGTATAGAGTATTATCACTTAGAGCAAGAGATGTGTTGGCAATGCCTATCTCCACTATTGCTTCTAAGTCAGCTTTTAGTACGGGAGGTCGTATACTTGATCCATTCCATAGTTCACTTGCTCCCAAGATGGTGGAGGTTCTTGTTTGTATACAAAATTGGCTTCGAAGTAACATTCCAATATGCCTTTAACAAGCAATGGAGGATGTTGAACAATTTGAACAACAATATGATTCGGGTAATATACACAATGATTTATTTGTTTTTTATCCATTTCATTTATTTTGTATTATTCAAAATTCATTATCTTCACTTTACATATTTTGTTGTATTATGTTTTATATGTAGTCGTTTCGGAATCAAGTTCATGTTTAAGTCCAAGTCTTGAGAGTAGTTATATTGAAGTTTAATATCATTGGTAAAATACTTCCCCCTTGTTATATTATGTTTACTTCACATGTTTTTGTTATATTATATTTACTTATTTTAAGTTTAAGACTTTTTAGTGTTTTCCTTCTTAAATAATTTCATTTTTTTGTTATGCAGGTTTAGCTCACGGTTCATGGTTTGGCTCAAAGAAATCAATGGCTTTATTGTTTTTTTTTTAAGTTGTTTTGAAAATATGACTATTAGTTGGTACTTTCTTTAGATGACTATAATACTTTATTTTGGATGATTGTATTAAGACGTTTTAAATTTTTTGGATGACTGTAATATTTTATTTTGGACAATTGTAATACTTTATTTTGGATGGTTGTATGTTTTACAATAGTAGGTTGTTTATAAATGAGTAGGTTATTTGATTCTCAAATCTCATTTAATCCTACAGTGGATGATTCTCAAATCTCATTTAATTCTCAAATTTGTGCTGCGTTGTTTGTTTGTTTGTATTACAGTGGGTGTCCAAGTTGCTCATATACAAAAACAAACTGTTTGTTTGTTTTACAATAACAGGTTGTTTATAAATGAGCATGAGCAGGTTATTATTTGATTAACAGGTTGTTAAATGAGCATGAGCAGGTTACAATAACAGGTTGTTATTTGATTCTCATTAATTTAGTTTTGCCCACTGTTGCAGTGTTTATGTATGCATTGCACATAGGTGGTGGTTGAGGAATTAAGTGCACATTAATTTAGTTATTTTTTTTGAAAGTGTACGTGTTAAATTATGTCAAAAATTTGTAAAATTTTAAACCGCCAAACCGATCGCATCAATCCGCCAATCTGCTCAATCCGCATCCGCCGGATTGGCGGACGGATG